TTCTCCACTATCGTCTTCATCATTTAGACGCATGCCTTTTCCACACATATTGAAGCGGTCTGATGGTAAAGACTCGTTTCCATTGTTTACTTTATTTATTTCCCGGGCGACAAATGATGGTTACATCAATGTTTTCTTGTTTTCTACCAGATATAACTTAAAGTTTAGGATATGATATCTCAAGCTGTCAACTATCATTTGGCAAAGAATTTTTCTTATAAATTTTAGTTTTGAAATTTGATCATTTTATTGTTATCTTTATATGGAGCACTTCCTCTAAAGCAGATCAAAATAGTCAAAAAATGGCCACCACCCAGCCCCTTTAAAATGCTAAATGTTAAAATCAGCTCCTCTTGCTAGTGAAACTGGTCGGTATAAACAAACTTTTAATGAAAGAAAATGTACTTATCTGCAAGTCTGATTGTGTAGAAACATCTTCTCTAGGGTTTCTGATACGCTGACCTTATAATCATGAGGAGAGTAGCGTATCAGAAACCCTTGGCTAGAGAAGATGGTGTAGAAGATGAAATACATTTTTTTTTATTGTTCAGTATACCAGGACTTACGAAAACCATTTTTAGAGAGACTATCTATAAAATATTAATACGATCTGTAAGAATTAGGTTTATCTAATAGAAACAAGTTTTAGGTCTTATGGTTTAAGAGTAATGAAAATCATAACGTTATCACGATTTTTTGTTCAAATTACATTCATAACTATGTTGGCATATTTCTACCCCCTACATGTAAGATATTTTTGTAAACATGCAAGTTAAATATGTTGAAATGCAAGTTAAATATGTTGACATGCAAGTTATATATGTTAAATGACATACAAGTTAAATATGTTGACATGCAAGTTACCAATGTTATAAGAAAATATAATTTAAATATGGGTAAAATTACCTACTAACGCCTTAATCTGACATTTTAGTTGCAATATGCAACATAATTATGTAGACATGCGACTTTTTGTTGTGTCAACATGCAAGATAATTATGTCAACTTGCGACTTATTTAAATTAACATGCATGTAAGATAATTATGTCAACATGTAAGACTATTATGTCAACTTGCAACTTATTTATATTAACATGCAAGATAATTATGTCAACATGTAAGATAATTATGTTAACATGCACAATGTGTAAGTTGATATGCAATATTAATCGCTGTCTATGGAATTGTGTATAATCTGTGTGGACTTGTTTATGTTGGTGAAACCAAGGGATCACTTAACAAAAGAATATCAGGTCATCGATTTCAAATAAATCATGGTGGTCAGCAGCTTTTATACAAACATTTTAATTCACCTGATCATTCTATTTTGTCATTAAAAGTACAAAAATACATCGACCGTTGATTCCAAACTTTTCAATTACAAAAAAACTTTACACGACCTGGATACCGAGTATCTGAAACATGATCCTCCATCGTGTTCATGTTCTTCTTTGCCCTATAACTATAGTCCTGCTGGACACGTTATTGCAGGTGACGTAAATATAGATAATAATGAGGACCTGTATGGATCACTTATTTTAAAAGGTATGCAAATATTTTTCTGTAAATATATTGTAATAGACCAAATTTTTTCAAATTATCAGAATTGTTGTCATCTGCTTCAAACTATTGGCTGTTACATAATTTCATAAATGTTATGGATTCTTTGTATATATTGAAAATTAACCTCATGTACCATTGATATGGCCAGATATGAAAAAGAAGAACGTTTAACTTGACACCTTTATGTCAGAATGGATAAAATGTATTAGATCTATTTTTAAAAATCGCGTATTAAAAGATGTTTTGATTAGTTAATTGGTTTTTACAGTAATTAGAAAACCATCTATCCTTCTGTGTTCAATAATATTTACTAGATATAAAAAAAAATACAATAAACACATGATGAGACATTGATCATTACAGAAAAATATACTGGTTCACTTTTTATCAATAAATAATTTATTATCTGACAAAGCAGGTAACAACATTTTTTAATTTAAAGTCTTCGTTTGTAATTACTGTTTTCATTATATAAATTGTGATTTTACTACAAAAAAGTGGGAACCATTGGATTTATTTATATTAACAAATGGATAATTATGTCAACATGTAAGACTATTATGTCAACATGCAACTTATTTATATTAACATGCAAGATAATTATGTCAACATGTAAGATAATTATGTTAACAACACATGTGTAAGTTTATGCAATATTAATCGCTGTCTATGGAATTGAGTATAATCTGTGTGGACTTGTTTATGTTTGGGAAACCAAGAGCCAAAAGAATATCAGAAAATAAATCATGGTGGTCAGCAGCTTTTATACAAACATTTTAATTCACCTGATCATTCTATTTTTTCATTGAAAGTACAAAAATACATCGACCGTTGCTTCCAAACTTTTCAATTACAAAAAAACTTTACATGACCTGGATACAAACAAATCCTCCATCGTGTTCTGCATACAACTATAGTCTTGCAGGACACGTTATATTACAGGTGACGTAAATATAGTTAATAATGAGGACCTTAGATCACTTATTTTAAAAGGTCCTAAACATAGGTAAACTCCGATCCTTCAACTGGCGTCGGAATTTCATAAATGTTATGGATTCTTATGAAAATTAGTGAAGGAAATAACTTCAAGACGTTGACACCTTGTGCTATAAAATGTATAGATCTACGTGTCGTTTAAAAGATTGAGGGGGCAATTTTCCTTCTGTGTTATCAATTTTCGATGGATCATTTTTTTGCTGAAAAACAGGTAACAACATTGTCTTCGTTTGTACGGATTATATAATTGTATTCTACAAGAACTTGGATAAAAACATTGCATATACAAATTCTTCAAAATCATGTGTCCGTTTTGAATATTTTTAATATTCCCACAGAGCCAAAATGAATTTGAACTACCTTATATATATTGGATTCCGAAACTTCTAAGCTTACAACAAAGACACATTGTGGGTTCTAGAAATGTTCATCGGTCTTTTGCTCACTAAAATATTGATAGAAAAAAACTTCACAGTATTCAAGAAGTTGTGTGAATCAGATGTGGATACTAAAAAATTCAAAAGAACTTTTAGACAATTTGAAATCACAAGGTTTTACCAAAATCAACAGCTTAAAAACTTGCGACTTCTCAACTTTATACACAACCATTCCCCACGATAAATTAATATCCAAGCTTTTAGATATCATTGACAGCTGCTTTTTCAATAAAGATGGAACTCGTTAATTTACAAACCTTGTCATTGGTCATTTGCAAAATTATTTTGTTAAAAAAGATTCTGATTGCACACATAAGTACTCTGAAGTTGACATCAAGAAGATGCTTGAGTTTCTGATTGACAATATCTATGTGGGTTCTTCCAAAAATCTATTGGAATTCCCATGGGAACCAATTGCGCTCCGTTATTAACAGACATAATTTGTATTCATATGAAGCAGAATTCATGCAAAGTCTTATGCGTGAAAAGAAGAAAACACTTGCTGTGGCCTTCAACTCGACCTTCAGATATATCGACGACGACGTATTGTCAATTAACAATGGTAATTTACATTCCTACGTACCAAGTTATATGATAAACGATATATCCAGGAGAGCTTGAGATAAAAGATACCACAGAGTCTGACACATCGGTTTCATACTTGGATATTCTACTTGAAAAAGACGTTAATAGTAACCTCAAAACCAAGTTATATGATTTATAAACGTGATTTCTTAAACTTTTCTATCGTCAACTTCCCTTACTTATGCAGCAATATACCTTCATCACCTGCATATAGGGAGTGTATATATCTCAGTTGATTCGATACATAAATATCTTGCATGTCAACATAATTATCTCGCATGTTAACATAAGTAAATCGCATCTTCTCATAATTATGTTGCATCTTGCATCTACGATGTCAGATACAAGCGTCAGCACGGGATTTTACCCATATTTAAATCAGATTCTCTTAAAAGATTTGTAACTTGCATGTCAATATAATTATCTTGCATGTTGACATAATTTTCTTGCATGTTAACATAATTTATCTTGCATGAAGGGGGCAGAAATATGCCACCATACATAGCCGTTTTAAAAGAAGAAAAGTTGATTTATCATGAGAAATACGAGTATTTTTATCATTATAGTTAATGTTCATTAAATTATGGAAAGCCATAGGGCTTTGTAAATGTCTATCATTTAGAAATTTCACTCTCTATTTTGTTACTTGGGCTTTTGTATGCCTTCTGGGCCCAAAATTGGAAATAAATACTTATTCACCAATAATAAAGAATAAATGAAGTGAGGGGTTTGAAGGAGGAAGATGTAGAGGAAAGTATCATTCAACTGGATGTACATGTACATATGTAGCATCGTATTAATATAGAAGTTGTCGGGTCATCAGTATGGAAAAAATAATATGGATAACCTGGAAGCTTAATTTTGACAAAGAAAGGAAAATAAATATCCGAACCGAATTTTTTATGTTGTAAGGTGGGTGGGGGTCCCATGTTGCTTTCACAACCGAATTTCTTAAAAAATGTCATATATACACAGCATGCTATTTATATTAGCCTTTCACAGAACATTAATTTTATTTAGTGAAAACACAACAAATATTTCAGAATCTCTTCTTTCTCTCTCTCTCTTTTATTTATTATTTATTTATTTATTTTTTTTGCTATTAGCAAATCAATGTCTAACATGAGAAAAACCGGTCTGATGGAGGGGAGTTCTGTGGCTTTTTGCAATAAATCATTATGAAATCATTATGATTTTATTAGAAGTACCACAATGAAATCAAACAAAATGTACCATATATCCCGTACCACCCCATATATTGCTATTTATATTAGCCAATTAATTTTATTTATGAAAACACAACAAATATTTCAGCTCTTCTTTCTCTCTCTCTCTTTTACTGCTTTCACTATATCAAGACCCCTGGCAAGCTAAAATGGTTATAAATATTAGAACCAATCAGATTGCTCCTTTCAAACAGGTTGTTGTCTCTGACAGGAAGCGGTTTTGTGAATCGTAAACCATGTAAACACAACACAGTACAGGTGCAAAACCAGGTGAAAATAAGGTTTATGTTTGAATGGAATGGCATCACACGCAGGGAATACTCGCATGAGTCGAGGAGGTTCTAACATGGATGCCACGAGCGGACCGGGGTATGCAAACACGAGCACTATGATTCAAAACAACCCAAATGATCCACCGTATGCGCTCCCACACCAGTATCATAACGGCGTGTCCCTGGAAAAATTCCACAACATGGGCGTGTCCAGTCGTCCCCACGTGCGGGAGGCGGACTCCCACAGTCGGCATCACCGTGGGAAGAGTAACTTTGACAACATCCGCTCGGAATGCCTCCGGCGCGGACGCTTGTATGAGGATCCGGAGTTTTTGGCGCACGAGACCTCGGTATATTTCAGCAGAAGTCCGTCTTTCAAAATTGAATGGAAAAGACCAACAGTAAGATTGTGTTATTTAAGTTTTTTTTTTTTTTTTTGACGTATGTCTCTCTTCTAACCCCCCCCCCCCCCCTCCCTTTACAAAAAAAACAAACAAAACACACACACAACACAAACAACAATTATTTTGCTGTAAATTACAGAAAACGTTAAGATTCTGATGTGTTGTGTCCAAAAGTGAAATTGCCTCCTATATTCATCATTCAAATTGTATCCTACATAACTGGTACATCATTAATGCATTGCCCTACTAATCATGATAATTCAGGGCCTGATAGAAATAAATGAAATAAATCTGGAATTTTATTAACAAAAGTCTTATCTCTCAGTAAGCATGTGTATAAATAACCTAAATATCTTGGGAATTGTGTGCGAGGACTAACCCTAATTCACTCGGGTTGTGCAATGCAAGGACTAATCCTAATCAATCGAGTGGTGTGTGAGGACTAACCCTAATATCTTGGAATGTGCAAGCAATAAGCAAAATCATTAATAAAAAATGGTATTCCTTTTTGTCTGAATAATCAGTCACATTTTTGTGTTTTTAAGAGCATTAATTCATTTTATTTAAATTGAGCAATTTCCATTTTTCAAATCATTGAAAGATATGCTAGCGCTGAGCAGTGCACAGTAGGCACATCATATCTAAATTAGCATATTACTGACTCTGTCACTGAATGTTTGAAGATTCATGAGCTAGGACATGAGCTACATGTACAATGTTTTATGCTGGCATATTTTTTGAAGCATGTTAGCACTTCATGTTAAATATGCCAGCATGAATTGATGTAGTTCCTGTACCTCATGAATCTTCAAAAATTAAATTCATTTCTTATATTTATTTGTCTTGAAAATCCATTTAAATATGTTAAATGCAAAAAATTTCCTAAGTTATTAAATTCCATAATATCACTTGTAATATTTCTTTTATTTATCATGTTAATAATTTTGATATTAATTTTTCAATTAGACTAATTAATATTCGGCATATCCTGGTCTGTTAAGTGTTTATGCCCAGTGTTCTGTCCAGTTTGTACTGAGTCACTCAAGCGTGTCCACAACTTATCTGATTAGATTAAAAGGCCAACCGTCTTTACATAATCGCTCAAAGAAGATCTGTTGCGATACAAAAGAGCGCCCCAGGAATGCAACTGTTCTGTCGGGGGGCTTAAGAATATCCCACATACCTGAGAGTTTAAATTACAAAAAAAATATTGTAAAAGTAGGAACTCAATGCACTGCATGGGAATAGAGAGAAATGAATAGAGATGTTAACCAGAATAAATGAAAAGAATTCAATTTCAAGAAACTTTTTGTTCCAAAACTGAATACAACTTACAATGATTTATAATTTTTAAATTTCTTCTATTTTTTATGTGTTTTATACAAAATGACAGCAACTCCCCCCCCCCCCCCCTTCCATATAAAAAAAGAGAGATGAAAAGAAAAACAAAAGATCGAGTCCATGAAGTATGAAAATTAGATCATGTACCCAACTCAACTCTCACTGACCCCCCCCCCCCCCCCCCCCCCCAAAAAAAAAAATATTTATAATGTGTTAGAAAAACCATAATATTATACAGGAGAAAATCATGGCTAATTTTTTTATTGCTGTGATATTAAGTGTATAGGTTTATTGCTATAATTATTGTTTTATGAAATTTCATAACTTGACCTGTAATGTAATATCTTAACTGAAGTTAACCCATTAAATGCTTACATGATAGATTTTAACTTGATACATGCACATTGTAATGTGTAGCCTAGGACTAAAGGTACATGTATTTTGCACATGTAAGCTTAGTAGGTATTTTGAAAATATAAGAAGGGTTTGGTAATTTTAGATATCATGTATTATGAATTTATTTTTCAATCTCAATGCCAATGTTCGATATAAGGTTCATTTTCTATGGATAACATTTGAATGCAATCCCAGATGGCTCTATTCAGTATATAGTCTATATACTTGTGTATTGTTTTACCTGAGTCTGCAGGTATCACCTGTCTTGTTTGGGGGCATGTTACCTGTCATCACTGATTTTAATCAGACAGGTATTTACCTGTATATCACCGCTAACATCAGAGGGGGATACACAGGGGCACTCACAAAAGTGTAAAGAAAACAACAAATACATACAAAGATTAATCAAAAAACACACACACAAAAGAAAAACGAGAAAAAAAATAGGGTGCAGAACGGAAAATATGTAATATTTCTTAAATTCAGATTTAATTATATGAGCATGATGAATAATTGTGCATATATACCAGTATATACAGTGTATATACATGTACATTATATAAAAAAATATAACAATATTTTGGATGGTTGAGAAATGACTTGATGTTGATAGTACATGTATATTTCTTTTGTTCAATTATGAGAACATGTATATTAATTTGAGCTTACCACCACCCCCACCAACACTACCTTCCCCCAAAGGAAAGCAAAAAAGGGACTAGGGTGTGTAGGGAAGGGATAGAGCATTTGCTTGTCTTCAAATTCTATCAGAAGCGGACCGTACCAAGTTTGAACATATTCTATATGATGATTCAAGCTAACCACAGGATGGAGAATTTTTTTTATCCTTATGAGTTGATATTGTATGCTATCATTGTCTGTATATCATTTCTCTGTTGACTTTTGTAGGAGATAGCCAGCCACTACAGATTAAAGCCAGCTTTCTTTCTGGACAACGCCACCAAGTTTGATGTCATTCAGGGAGACTTGGGTAATTTCGTGATTAACAAATGTCTGTGTCAAGTCTTAATTAATCTCCACTCCAGTCATTAGGATAATTTACTTTAATTTTTATGCGCCCTGATCGATAGATCCGGTGAGTATATTGTTTTTGTCCTGTCACCATAACTTTTGAACCATAAGTCTAGAGATAGAGACTTCATATTTGGTATGCATACTCAACTAATAAAGTCCTTTCACATGACATGAAGGTCAATGACCTTGTGACCTTGACTGTGACCTATATGCTAAAAATAGCTTTTTCCACTGTTTGTCATAACTTTTGAACCATAGGAGATAGGGACTTCATATTTGGTATACTTACTCCACTTATAAAGTCCTTTCAAATGACGACAAGTCAATGATCTTGTGACCTTGACTGTGACCTACCGTAAATCTGGAAATTTTTACGTCGATTTTATTTTGCGAATTCTGGTCAAAATGGTGTTGATTAATTTTTACGTTTCAATATTTTGCGAATGTCCACTGCTTTGTTTACATTTCCTTATGGGTAATTTATTTTTAAGTAAAATATTTTTGCGAATTTGATGAACTCACAAATTTGCTAAAAATTTATCTACAGCAAAAATTTCCAGATTTACGGTATATGCTAAAAATAGCTTTTTACACTTTTTGCCATAACTTTTGAACCATAGGAGGTAGGGAATTCATATTTGGTATGCATACTCCACCGATTAAGTTCTTTCAAATGATTCCAAGATCAATGACCTTGTGACCTTGACTGTGACCAATATGCTAAAAATAGATTTTTTGAACTTTGTTGCCGCCAGGCACATAGTGTTTCACAAACACATCTTGTTTTAAGAGTTGTTTTTCTTTGACCAGGTAACACTTTGATATGTTTTAAGAGTTGTCTTTCTTTGACCAGGTGACTGCTGGGTGGTGTCTGCCATTGCCTGTTTAACGAGTCCAGATCATCGGGAATTATTTCGTCGCGTTGTTCCGGCGGACCAAGGTTTTCAGGATGGCTGGTACGCGGGAATCTTCCGATTTAATTTCTGGCATTTTGGGAAGTGGGTTGAGGTGGTAGTAGATGATCGATTACCGACGTATCGCGGACAACTCATGTTTGTTCACTCTCTACACAAAAATGAATTTTGGGCAGCACTAATGGAGAAAGCATATGCAAAGTAAGCAAATTAAAAATGATTTTTTAAAAAGTCCACACTGTCAAAGAAAGTATGCATGGTCAGTGGTCCATAAAAGAACATCCAATTAGTGTGTAATTTATTGTTGCATAGATATGTGACTGACAATTGCACTAGAATTTGACTACTTGAAACAATGTTCACATTATCATTTCACAAGCAACATTCCTATATTAATTTGTTTTTTTGGCAGATTGTATGGCTCCTATGAAGCTTTAAAGGGAGGTAATGTGGCGGACGCTCTGACGGACTTCACTGGGGGGATATGTGAGGGGTATACACTCAGGGGAAGCAATGCTAACGTTCCTAGGAATATTGTCAACATTTTGTTCAAAGCCCTGGACAGACAGTCACTGATTGGTTGTGGCATCAATGTAAGTAAAATGTCACTGATTGGTTGTGACATCAATGTTAGTGAAACCATCACTGATTGGTTGTGGCATCAATGTAAGTAAAATGTCACTGATTGGTTGTTTGACACTAAAATGACAGTGTCTGTAAGTGAAACTTCCAGTGGATGGCTGAGGTATCAATGTCAGTGATATGATTGCTATTTGGCCATTTTGTCATCTGCATGTATTTTAATCATAAGTCATGAAGCAAATGTTGTGGTGTTTTTTATGTCAATCTGTTTGGCTTTAAAGGTATTCTCACAGTATCCTCTCATTGTATGACAATAAATCAAATCTGAAATTATTCTGGAAGGTAGATTTAAAAAAAAATTTAACCTCTGATATCAATGATTAATACTGAGTTTTCTGGAATGCAGATTTTTTAAAAGTAAAATATTGTATGTTTACAGCCAGTAAAAGGTCACCAAGGTGAACAGAAACTGCCTAGTGGTTTGGTGGCAGGGCACGCATACAGTGTCACAGATCTAAGGGAGGTAAGTGTTGATATTAATGTTAAAGTATTATAGGCCAAAATAAACATACATGTTCCTGCTTATGTTCACTGCCAAATAAAAAGTTGTAAGATGTTAAAAGTGAAGTTTCTGTGATGTCATTTTTTTCAAAGAGGAAAAGAGGTCCAAATGACATCTTTGTTTACTTCTTATCTGTGTACTGCCAGTAATTAACAATTTTTCTCTTCAGATTTTGTTGATGACTGACAACAGAGAGACACCTATCACATTGATACGAGTCCGAAATCCCTGGGGGAACAAAGTGGAGTGGAGGGGAGCCTGGGGGGACAGGTGAGGGGGGCAGGGAGGGATTGCGTAGAGCGTGTGTCAGCAGTCAGGCTGTGGGGGCATGGGATTGTGTGGAAGATGAAGGGTGTGTCTACAATAGAATTAGGTGGGTGCTGAGGGGGTTGAGTGGAGGGTGTTTCAGAAATGAGGGACAGGTGTATAGTAAGGGGGTTGTTTGGATGATGGAGTGTGTGTCTACAGTCAGGGACAGGTGTGGGGGGAGGGTTTTGAATTCTATGGTCAAGGACACTAATTTAGGTATAAATTGTGCTTTCAGATCACGAGAATGGAACAGTATTCCAGCCGACGACAGAGAGAAGATGGGGCTGATCTTCAGGGATGACGGCGAGTTCTGGTAAATAATTAATTAAATGGACAGAATCAGATCTGTCAGAGGCTGTAGGTACAGGTACAGATACCTTAACCTTGAATCAGGGATCAGATACAGATTTGTTCATGATCAATGAATAAGCATCATTGAATGAAGATTTTCATGGGGATCATAATTATTTTCAATAACATTACAATCAGAGCATATTTCTATACAATCTTTAAGTGAGATAGTAACAGAATTCAATGTAGAAATTTTTTGTATACTCTTTCATATTTCATATACACATTTCTCTGTTTATAAGATAATTTGATAGGTTTATGATTGTTTTACAGGATGGAGTTAACAGCATTAATGCATAACTCTGATTATTATACAGGATAGAGTTTACAGACTTTATGCGTAACTTTGATTATTTTTTCACACAGGATGGAATTTACAGACTTTATGTGTATAACTTTGATTATTTTTTTACACAGGATGGAGTTTACAGACTTTATGCGTAACTTTGATTATTTTTTTACACAGGATGGAGTTTACAGACTTTATGCGTAACTTTGATTATTTTTTTACACAGGATGGAGTTTACAGACTTTATGCGTAACTTTGATTATTTTTTTTACACAGGATGGAGTTTACAGACTTTATGCGTAACTTTGATTCGTTAGACGTCTGTAACCTGACCCCTGACTCTCCAGTAGAGATGCCTAAACAGTGGCACACAGCAGAGTATCATGAGCGATGGATGAGGGGGTTTAATGCTGGAGGGAGACCTAAGTACAGAGGTAAGTAGTCAGAGTTACCAGAGGTAATGCCAGGGGGAGGCCTAAATACAGGGGTGAGTACTCATGATTATCAGAAGAGGGGGGTTTAATGGAAGGTGTTGGGTTGGGTAAATACAGGGCAAAGTCTGCAGTGGGGAGGAACCTCAATAAGGACAAGGTTAATTTTTAATAAAACCTGGCACATATGGTTCTTGACTCAAGTATCAGGATTAAGTTAACAAACTCCTTTGGAGAGATGGTTTAATGTTGAGTGTTTAAGGGGACAGAAGGAGGAAGTAGGGGGTACATAAAAGTATTCAAAGTTCTATGAATGTAAACTTTTATGGTATATAGTATTTATCCCATTTTAATTTGGAAGTTTATACTTTGGAAGAAAAAAAAAGAATTTCCTTAATAATAATAATTTGATTTTTACATCAGAGAGGTAAGATTAAACCCTGTCTGTTTACTTGGCGTGTTTTCATGTGAATTATTTTCTTTTGTCTGTTGTAGATTCTCATTGGACGAACCCCCACTTCAAGGTGACCTTGTCAGACACAGATGAGGACGGCGACAAAGTGTGTAGCTTTATCGTTCAGTTGATGCAGAAAGACCGACGGAAAATCAAACACAGGGGAGAGAAGCTCATCTACATAGGATTCCTTGTGTATAGGGTAAAATTAAACTCATAGAATGATCTTCTTTATTTTATTTATCAAGAAGATTATAGGCTATGAATGTTCACTCCTAATAATTGTATGAAGGTATATGCATAGTCTAACCTGGATCATTGTCTGGAAGTTGGAGAAATCAAGGAAAGAAATTGAGATATTCCAGGATTTATGATATTGTCTAAAAACTTGGGGTATACGTATAAAATACATGCATGTAGGAAAAATGGTGGTTTGAATTTTCAAATGACTTCAAAATATTCTTAAGTTCAAGTGTATTGGAAAAAAAAGACATTTTTATTATTTATTTTCTATTTTAGTTATCACGAGATCACACTGTTCCCCTAAAGAGAGAATTCTTTGATACCAATCAGAGCGTGGAATCTAGCGGTCACTTTATCAACATGCGTCAGAGAATCGCCCGGCTGTCCCTACCCCCCGGGGATTACGTTGTGGTACCCTGTACGTGGGACCAGAATGAGGAAGCCGATTTTTATCTAAGGTTCTTTTTTGAGAACAGAAATGCTGTTGAGTAAGTAATGCTTTAGAGTAAAAAAAAATCTACAAAGAATATCATGTTAGAAAAAAGGAAGTGCTGGAATTTTTCTATAAAATCCCATATTCAAGAAAAGCAAAAAACATATACATATATGCATGTAACCCATTAACAAAATTTAATGTAGATAATGTTAACTTTTTTAAGATCAGTTAAGGACATTTGTTTTTAGGAAGATCAAAAGAGCCATAGCTGCCTTACCGACGACTCGGCCTACACAAGTATTTAAAAGGAAATCACCTGTTTCTATTTATAGATACATGTACCTTTTCAAATCAAAATCAATCCACATGTATGTAAACATTTGTGAACCAGTGTTATATTTTCATAGTTGCAAGTTTGTTGCATGACAGTAATTTTATTTGTCCAATACTTTTATTCTAAACAAGATTGTTTGAAAACCTTAAAAATAAAACAGGCTAGCAGCTATGATTTTGGATCATTAAATTAAGACTGTTTTTCTCCAAGATAAACTTTCAATGTGTAATGCTACATTATATATCTCTTCTAAAATTTTTTTATACATGTATTATAAAATAATAAAAGAAAACATAGGAAAATGCACACGAGAAAAAAATAAAATCGTAATATACGCACAGTGAGACTCGAACTCACGATCATTATATCTTCAATCCAGCAATCATACCACTATGCCACGAAGTCTTGGCAATCAATTGGATAAAATTAAGACAAATTGTTGAATTTTGAAATAATTTTAGAAGAAAAATTAAAAACATATTTTCAACATTTTCAATATAAAGTCCACCTTTAACCAAAATTATCTAAGCGTAATGAAGTGCAGTCATATCCAAATAAAATTATTCAGAAGTTGTTTTTCTGGTTAAGGATGGTCTTTAGCTACATTTTCACATTGTTAAGGGGGGCACCTCAGTATTTACTATATTCTCATTATAAACTGAATGATTTTTATATCTATCATATGATGGAACTATCAATATTTGAATATTATTATTGGGTGATTTGCTTTAAGGCATGTATAAACTAACATTGTATGACAAAAAAATTGGTTAAATAATGTATTTAAAAATCATTTCTAGAGTAGGCAAAAGTGACTATCAAATGCGCTAAGGCTCTTTACGCTCAAGGAAGTTTAATAATTTAAAAGTATAGAAATGTTCTTTTTTTCTAGAGAGGTGGACGAGGCCCCGGTGAGAGAAGAGATGCCCCTCCCCTCTACTGACAAAGACAAGGAGGATCACTTCAAACGCTTCTTTCACTCAGTTTCAGGGGAGGTAACTCTTACTTAGTTTATTTGACTTCCTTACATGCTGTCAAAAGATTGTAAACTCGTGATTTTACCAGGAGATATACAGTGTATGTTCCTGTGTAGTAGATGGAAGAAATGATTTAATTTATGATAGAGGTAATTAATCACTGGGATACAAAATACAAGTTTTGTACTGAAATTAATGAAATGAGTAATGTACTGATATATTGAACGTATCTGAATATGAGGAATTTCTCAGATTTTATATCTTATTTGAATTAACTCTTTATCTGCCCTTGTAATACAAACAATATGTTATTTTTCAAGTAATTGATTTAATCTCTTGTTACAGGACATGGAAGTGAATGCGTTTGAATTACAGACAGCCTTAAACGAAGCTTTACAGAAAGGTGAGGTTGTTTATTACGGTATACCTGGATATTATGATACTGTATAGGGGATTAATTTCACGGGTTGTAATTTTCACGTTTTTCTCTTTCCTGACACTGTTGCGATTTCTTGAATTTGCAGAATTTGTGTATTATTAAAGTTTCCACCCCTATCTATACCTATTGAAAACTTATTCACTGTTTCTTGAATTCACAGTTTCATCAACACCGTGAATATAGCGAATATTAACACCGCAAGTTTATTTCCCCCTATACAGTATTCTATTGCATGGGACATATTGTGAACGGAGACTAAAATATCAGTATATAGGTGCATAAGTATAAATTCCAGAAGTTTTTTGTTCATTTGTTCAAACTTTTAAATTGCAGTAACAGAAATGTAAGCAATGTTAAAGAATACATAACAATAATATTCAAGCATCCAAACATTCATTTACACTTCAAAGTAGAAAATGTGTGTAGGGCTTTCATGAATTATTGTGATATTTTGGAAAAATAAGCCAGTAAGTTTATTTTATAATTACATGCAGTAGTTATAAATTTGATGAATGGATAAATATTTTTTACAGAACCTTTACATCATCTCCTGGGACTCCAGGCCTGTAAATCCTTCGTAGCTTTAATGGATGTATCCTTTCTATACACATTGCAAACACTTGAGTATACAAGTATGATACATTCAGCTAAAAGTAAAGATGAAATAGGAGTTATCTTCCCCTTTACTTTGTGTGTTCTAGATTCTTACAATTTGAAAACCATGTGATTATATTCTTTGAAAACATTCTATTTAAATAGACTGATATGTTATACATTGATATCATTTTTTTAAATATCTTTTTACAGTGAATATTTAATTCATCTCATGAAATTGCTTATCAGATTTTAATTAAATTTAAATTTTCAATATTTGGTTATAAACATAAAAGTTTGAATTTCATAGAAGTTAACTTCAATATTTAGCAGCTGAACAAATAAACAAGGTATATAATTTCCTAAACAAGCTTTCAGGTTGATGGATCGGGTAAACTTGGTTTCACAGAATTCTTGTACCTGTGGAATTTACTTCGTAGTTGGAAGGTTAGAACTGAAAAGTCATTTGTTTAAAAATTGATAAGAAGTCTACTCAAATTCGAAAAAAAAATTTGTGAGGATAAAATTGTTGTTGAAAACATTGTTTGATTATGTTTTGTTACAGAGGTTGTTTTATCAGTATGATGTCGATGGCTCAGGCATGCTCAACTCGTTTGAGCTCAGACGGGTTCTGGGTGCAGCAGGATTCAAGGTAGATAATTCCACCATGAGGTCCCTGGTTTGGTGGTACGCGGATGAGAAATTCTGTGTCAGTCTGGACAACTACTTCATCTGTCTCGCTCGTCTGATGAAACGCTTTAGTGAGTAGAAGGTGTATGAAATTATCAATCATGGAAGTTCCATTATGGAACACAATTACTTGGAACATACATATAGATAGCTAAAATATTGACTGATCATTTAAATATGATCCTTTTTCTTTTTGCACAAATTCAAATTTTGACTAGTTTTTGTTTATGATATCACTTTTTTTTTCTAAATTTCAGATGAATTTAGCAAGTTGAAGAAAAATGAACAAATTACCCTCTCTTTGTCACAGGTAAATTAATTGATACATTCCAACTTCTCCAAGTCTGAAAGAATTCTCTCAATTTTTACCCATCCTATTCCATTTTCAGAGTGGAATTTCTTATTCTAAGAAATAATAATGTCTGTATACTTCTAATGATAAAAGAATGTGAAAAAAGTGCTTAAGATTGTAAATTTTATATTTCAGTGGTTGCAGAAAGGTGTATCATGATATTATCAGGCCACACCCCAGGGGTAAATGACTATATCAAGCTGACTGTGATAATGATCCAGACTCCCATCATGCAATGCAGCAATTTCATATGAAAACTGAGTCCATGATGCAATGAGTGCAATGCAGTGACATACGTTTCTTTGTGAAAAGATAATATGCTCAGTTTTATAACCGAAGTTTTTTTTTTTCTGTTTTAGGGAATAAACAGGGTTTACAATGTACATCATTTAAAAAATCTCAGGGTAGTGTATTCATTTATTCAATACACAAATATTTATATTATTATAAAGGAGTATTTAATGATCTTATCTTGGTTTGTTTTAGAATTTGTTTTTAAAAACAATACATGACTTCAGACCATTCCAAATATTTAAGATTTCATGCATCAGAAATCGGCAGCTAAATCAATTTACAGTTAAGTACTGGAAGATATCATTCAAAACATACCCCATTTATTTCTTTTGAAGTTTAAACAGTTTTATTCTAATTGTTTCAGAATGCAGTTTAATTCCTGCACATTTAATTTACATGACTTTGTGTTTGTTGATATTTTTATGTGATATTCTAATATTATTCCATCTTTACATTTCATTGTTGTATTACTGTATCAGTGTTATGAAGATCTGTATTTTGTTGTTTCATGCTCTACATGTATTTATTTCTAATGAGATCTTTTGGTTGTATTTGTATCTAATTATATAATATATACAATATATCATATTTTGCATTTTTTTTAAATTCAAGTTTTTGAGATCTGATATTGAACATTTTTATTGTTTTTTAAGCCTATTTTAAGTTTTATAAATTGGTTTCTAATAAAATTGTATTAAGGGTCCTCCACACACCCACAGGTTATGCTCTAATATTATTGAGCATTACTTTAAACAAGCATATCAACCTTTAAAAACTGTCCAGGGATTAAAATGTAATTTATACTGATTTTTTAAAATAATTATTTCACAAGTTATAAGAAATTTTTCCCAGAGCATTTTCATACCTAGCACAACAAACTTTGTCTTATCCTTTCGTATATTTTTAAGCTCACGGAATAACCATAAAAATTCATTTTTATCTATCAACATATTTTTTACAGAAATTTATTTTATTTATAAAAAGTACATAAAACTTATTTTCTCTGAAATACATTTCGAGAAAAATCAATAAGGACTCCTTTTGTGGAGAAGAAACATTAATAAATTAGATTACATCAAAAAATTGAATTAAAATTAAATGCACTGATGTAGAAAAAACATTTTCCAAATCTTTGGTATCAAAGTTCCTTTTTGGAGTTATCTTTCCTGTTGCACGGGACTCAAAAACTTTGGCAAGTCTCCGCATACGTCACTATACTATATTTAGTAATTACTAGCCACTGAACTGGACAAATATAACAGAGGAAAACTAGAAATACACACTATTTTATTAATATTTATAAACAACAATGAGATAATGTATTATTGAAACGCACAAATTAGTGTGCCGAAATTTCAACTATCAAAACAGACTCGATCGGTTGATTAGTCTGAAAGGATAAATAATCTATACGTTTTTCGTCATAACCACCGGTACCTGTTGTTTACGAATTATTATGTAACATAATCCAAGACGTCTGTTGTTCTTTTATTTAACAAAAAACCGCACATCCTTTTCCATCGGTCACTCCGTGATCATGCCATGTGTTCATTGTTTATAAACGGTGTTAGGTTATTTCGTTCTTACAGAAACTCGATCGAACCGGAAGTAAAAGTATTTTTTCTCTATATACGTCACAAGTCACATGGTGTGGAGGACCCTTAAATAATGTACCATATATGAATCTGTTTTTGACTTTTAAAACTCAGTTATTGAGATCTGATATTGAATATTTTTATTGTTTTTAAAAACCATTTGAAGTATTATCTTATTACTGTTAAGAGCGCTTCATGGAAATATAAGCTGCATTATGATTTATTTTTTTTTATGTCACACTGCAGAACATTTCATTCTTTGTAAATGTACCATGTGATTTTTAAAACATAAATATATGTTTTTAACTATTGATTTAAAAGCATTGAAATGGCTTTTTCATTTAAAAGTAAAATATTTTATTTTGTTTTGATCCTTCTCTTATGTTTTAAAAAGGATGCTTACGCTGAAAGAAATCAAATTGATAACCGAAAATGAGGCTTATTTCATTTCTATACAAAAACTTCTTATGTCTTTATTTATATCAGAGACATATAATAGTATTATATGTCTCTGTTTTTATGTACTATAAACAGGTCTGGACGATTTCTAAATATGGAAGTCAAGAACGATAACCAAAAGTTGCTATAAATGTACATCAAGTACATGTTATTATTTTTCTGTCCAATCAGACAACAGCATTTTTACATACCCCAAAACATATTTTAAAAGAACAAAAAGATAACATGTGCTTTTGTTTTTTTCCTCAAAAAGATTTTTTGAACAAAAAATCTGTAGAAGTTAGATGAAAACTTTTGAAGAATAAGATATTCTCCACATTTTTACCGTGAACAACCTTGACATTTCTATATCGGTAAAGAAAAAAAATAATGCACGATAGAATGTAATCGTTTACAGAGGTATAGATCACACTAGCAAGTTTTTACCAAGTTCAATAAAAACATTTACCAGAATATATTAGATGATGGTAAATATAATTTTGCTTAGCCGTCCGATTTTCATCGATAATGCTTTAAGTCCATGTGTATAGATCAACTCAAACTGTAAGTGTTTATCGTATGGAGTATACACATATAGTTTTGCATTATCACGGGTTTCATGAGCGCCGAATACTTAAAGCTTTGCAGACTTTAAATGGGAATAAGGAAAGGCGTTTAACGTGGAGAAAAAAGAATCCTGTAATTATACATGAATGCGTTTTATCCCAATATCTTACCTCGCATATCAGAAACTGCATGGACTACTAGTGTTCTGTAATAAACACTCAAAAATTATAAGGACTAGTATCTTTTCGATAAGATTTTTATGTCAGGCTCTAAAAACTGAAAATTTACCCTATTTATATCGATTTTTTAACGTAAGTAAACTTTTGGGATTGCTAAATCCTAGAGACAGATTTTTTGATCCCACTTAAAATGTTTTCCAAGCTTTCAAGTCGTGTTTGTTCACGGTAGAATTGTCATAAATATTATATTCCCAAATGCGCATAAAGTTTACAAAAAGTTTTTTCTAAAAAAATCTTTTGAGCAAAAAACTTAAAAACCACGTGTTTTATTTATTCTCTCATGGGTTTGTCTAAATGCTGTTATCTGATTGGTCAGAAGGATTGGTGCCTTGTTTATTCTGTGTATTAATAGCAATTCACGGTTATCGTTCTTGACTTCCTTATTTAGAAATCGTCCAGACCTGATAAATAGAAAATGTCAAAAACTGACCAGAAATTTAACGTTTTATAGAGGCCTTTGCTTAGGCTTGTTTCTTAAGATTTTTCTTGTTCCTTGATTTACAAAGTAAAATTGAAGTTTTGAAAAACTTTGATAAGATAATGTTATCACAAATAGACTTTTACTTTGTGTAACAAATATATCATACAGTGAAATGAATGTAAAAATCCTTTACATAGTTAATTCTTTTGCTAGAATATGAACAAAGGAGATAACTTTTATCTAAGTTATCGTTAGTTTTCATTCATCCTCAAAAGCATTTAACACAGTCTTCAACACCTAAGGATGCTTGGCATAAAGTACATTCCATAGCTAATACATGACACATTTTTGAAATATTATATTTATTATAGATTATTATAGGTGAGTACATTATTTATTTTACATTTTATGAATTAAATTTCATTTTTGAAAATTCATGAGGACATTAACTCATTTCGTATATTCACATTATTTTCTGATAAGTTACCACAAATTACGCCATTCAACTGCATTTTTAAAGCAAAACAGTTTGCACTATAGTTTTGACGTAAAATATGGTATTATGACATAAGAAATGAGATATTCATGCTCATCAATGGTAGTAAATGAGAAAAAGAACATAATTCTTATTTGTGAGGAATTTGTTAAAGACAAATAAATGTAAATATAAGATTACAATATAATACACTTTTTTTGTCTATGCATTATTACCTATCAATTTTTATATATAGGATATAGGTATATAGGAATCACCTTGTCCGTCTGTCTGTCTCCGTCTGTCTGTCTAGCTGTCCGTCTGTCTGTGCAATCGTGTCCGGTCCATATCTTTCTTACAGAGGGACATTAGAATCTACTACTCCACACTAAGATTGCTCATAACCCAAGGGTGTGTCATGACCTTGACCCAAGGTCATTTGGGAAGTTCAAGGTCACTGGAAGAAAAATTTCATAATTTGTGTCCGGTCCATATCTTTCTTATGGATAAACTTGGTAGATTCTCATTTCACACAAAGATTGCCCATGACCCAAGGGTGTGTCATGACCTTGACCCAAGGTCATTTGGGGAAGTTCAAGGTCACTTGGAGAAAAATTTCATAATTCGTGTCCGACGTTTTATCTTTCTTATGGATAAACTTGATAGGTTTTCATTTCACATAAAGATTGTCCATGACCCAAGGGTGTGTCATGACCTTGACCCAAGGGTGTGTCAAAACCTTGACCCAAGGTCATTTGGAGAAGTTTAAGGTCACTGGTAGAAAAATTTCATAATTCGTGTCCGGTCCATATCTTTCTTAAGGATAAACTTGGTAGGTTTTCATTTCACACAAAGATTGCCCATGACCCAAGGGTGTGTCATGACCTTGACCTAAGGTCATGTGGGGAAGTTCAAGGTCACTGGAAGAAAAATATCATAATTCGTGTCTGGTCCATATCTTTCTTATTGATAAACTTGGAAGGTTCTTATTTCACTCAAAGATTGCCTATGACCCAAGGGTGTGTCATGACCTTGACCCAAGGTCATTTGGGGAAGTTCAAGGTCACTAGAAGAAAAATTTTATAATTCGTGTTTGATACATATCTTTATTATGCAAAAACTTACTTCTGAAAAACCCAGCGGGGGGTATTTTGTCCTGATTGGACAGTTCTAGTTATTTCAGCTTATCTTTCACATTCATCATTTAATTCAGCTCTGACAAGATATTAAATGTAAACTTCAATGATGATTGATTTCAACTGTGAATTACCATTTTAAAATGCTTAACTACAGTACAGCAGAAAAATTCACTTCAAATATTTGATTTTCTTCACTTGTTTGTTTGCCTGTTGAGCAATAAACACATTGTCATTTGTATCTATGCACAGTCCCCGGGGTTCACTCAGTCCACAGTCTATGTAACGGAGGAACTGCCCATCCTGGTCTATGATGTGGACACAGTCATTGTTATAATCAGCTGTAAGGATGTGACTCTGACTGTCTGTGGTGATTCCTCGTGGACTGAATGGTTGGTTCTTTGGAGCAGGAGTATGTCCAGTGTATCTGAATCTCGTTTCCCCGGCCTGATTGACCACCACTACTGCTTTAGCTCCACAGTCAGACATGCAGATATCCAGGTTCCTGTTTTCGTTAATGTAGTATGTGTTATATCGACCAGATGAATAGAGAGGTTTACCTTTATCATCAAACTGAATCGTTTGTTTCTCTGTGGAGCCAGAGTAACGGACAACTTTTGTTTGTTTGTAATCATCACTGTCCATGATAACCAGGAGGTCACCAGAGGAGGTACTACAGACACCGTCAGGTTTCCAGTTCTGTAGTTTGATCACCTCCTCTATCTTCTTATTCTTCACAATGTTCACAGTTCTGTCACCATAATCAGTATAAACTAAATCTCCAGTTTTTGTCACTGCTATATCTATTGATGTGTTCCCTGACTTGGTTGTGATTGACTTGAGTATTGATCCCTGATTGATGCTGTAGAGTTTCATGGTTTTTTCATTTCCTCTTGTCCAGATTTCTTCATCACTCAGACAGGCCCCACTGAAAAGCTTTTCATACCCAGTGTCTATAGTGGTGACAGTCTCTGGTTCATCAAGCAGCTGTTTGACTGGAGTAGAGGATCCAGCTTCTGGTGATTTCTGTATTGTCTTCATTCTGTAGCCAAGCTCATCTGATGCTGTAGAGCTTGATGATAAGGCTCCAAATAGCTTAGTTAATTCTTCTCCTTGAATTTGTTTTGGCATGAATTTTGGTAAAGACGGCGCAATTTTGTGTGGAAGCTTTCTGTATTTGTCTACATAGAATTTGACACTGAATAGTTTTGACAAATCATTCGTGTCTATAGTGATATCAGTTGATTTGATTTCATCCTTGATATAAGATATTGTCTTGTTTATTTCATCCAGATGTTTCTGTAGAGTTTCTAACTGTGTGTTTTTCATCTCATCAACTTCAGCTTTAAGTTTCTGGACAAGTTTGTCAACTTCTCTGTGCCAGTCCTCTCCATGCTTTGTAATGGCTTTTGAGAGATTTCCATATTCCTTTTCTAACTGTCTCATTCTGTTTTGTACATCAGAGGCAATGTCCTTGTAGGTTGGAAAAATTATTTCATTTAATTCAGTTTGTTCTTGAAGTATCTTGCTCTTTTGTTTTTCCACAATTTGCAAAATTTTTGACAACTTATGCCCTAAGTGTTGGTCAGATGCAATGCAAGTACTGCAAACAGGAATGTCACATTGATTACAGTACATTTCACATCTTTCTTTGCTATGAGTTGTACATCCAGGGTAGAGGGGAGTGGATTTCTTGACCTGGTATTTGACGACTTTGTGGTCCTTGGACTCATCAGATATCATATGTTTCCCTACACAAGCTGTACACAGGTTGACAAGACACGTATCACAGTGCATCTGTACCACAGCGGTCTTACACAGGTCACATCGCAACACGTCCTGGGCACTGGTACGGGAGTCCATCATTAGATGTTTTTCTCTTAAATATACCACAAATCAACATTTATTTATCATGTATTTACAATTCATAACGAGGAAGATGAATTGTAAACAAATTACAGATAAACACATTGACAATTTGACCTTAGACGAATACGTATACTCGTAATTAAAGCACTACTAATATCTGACCATAACCAAACGCCTATAGTCTGATTACTAAAAAATTCATTTATTGCGTCATTTCCTCATAGAATGCCATTCACACACAATTTTACTTGGTTCCTTTAAATTTTGGTACTTGAGTACAAGCTTTTCACAAAGGATCAACATCCAGTTGTACATCTAGTTATGTGATAATCATTTTCATGTTTTTCCTTATACGATTTTGAAAGGTATTATTAATTTTTACAATATGATTTTTCACAACTGAAAAGCCAAAAGGTAGTGCTGAATTGGCTCCACTGGTGCACAATATAAAACAGTTTCTTCTCCAGAACCATAAGATTGGAACGACCTACCCATAAGCACTTGTTTTGTGTACGGGGCACCATCTACTTATTTTTATCGCAAGGTGGTAAAAATAAGTAGGTGTGCCCCATAAAGGAAACAAGTTTCTGTGCACTTATTCTAGCTTCCACCCGATTAACTGAACATAGAATACTTCGAATCACGGTGAATCCGTACTTTATCTGATATAAGTACTGAAGCCAAAACTTTTTATCTTTCACCTGTCAATAATTTATTTCAAATTGCACCTCTTGTTTCACGTCATACCAATCTTGTGTGATGGGTCGAAGATCCTTTAAAAGTACAAACATACACGTAGATATGAACGGCATAATTAAATTATAATAGCCTTATTTCGGGTACAAAGGTAGAGGTCATGTACTGAGTATATATCAAGGCACGGATAAACATTCCTGGGAGGAATAGAACTGGAAATATAAAGTATGAGTATACATCTGGTGAATAATGTCTGAAATCTGGAGAATTACCTTACCTTTTTAGGAAGGTAATGGCGATCACCCAGTTGTTTACAATTGTTAACTCGATCAGAGACCTTGACTACCGTGTAGGTACCCGTATGTTTTACCTGTCTGGTATTTTATACTTCCTGCTTTATTATATAAGTTACTGGTATATTTTACGCCTGTCTGATTTTGCACCCCAAACATCATTAACTAACCAATACACAGTGCTACACTGCGTTTAGACGAGTATTTTAATAATCAAGGGTGTTTTTTTTAAATGGTTTGAAAAAAATTAAGGATTTGTTTGTTTAAAAACAAATCATTCCAAACTTAATACTTTTAGTTTAATTTTGTACTTTATAATAATGCAGATATATTTCTTTTAATTTAATGCATAACTTAGAATCAACCCACTTACTCTATGACAAAAACAGGCGGCCCCCTGGTACGAAGGGAGGGGCACCCATTAGCCCCCTCCCTCCCCCCCCCCCGATTTTGGAAAACAGTCTTTTGCTGTGTCAAAGTAAAGACATTTTCTTTGATAACCTGCTTTCCTACCCCTTTATTTTTTGCTTACTACCCTTATTTTTGTTGCAATAGAAGTCAAGAAAAATATTGCTTCTTGTAGTCCACTTCAAAAACGTTGCTACGGGTTTTAAAAAAGGTAATGTCAGATTAAATGACACATTAATAATATTTGAAATTATGTCAAATATGTTATTGAAGTTTGTATTTTTGTAAATTTTCGACGTACATATGGTTAAGTATCAAGTAGACAGAAACATGGTGTAACAAAAAGATGACAATGTCACTCGACTTTAATGGTTTTATCTACATATGATCTATACTAAGGAAAATTTAAAATTCATAGCTTCACAATATACAGAATGCAGCACTAGTATACTTTTATCACCTGCATACGGAGTTTATATGTCTCAGTTGATTCGATACATAAGAACATGTTCTACGTATGAGCAATTCCTAAAATTAGGAAAATTATTGACAAAGAAGTTGATGAGACAAGAATTTAGCAGTATCGTTTTAAGTCATCATTTCGTTAGTTCTATGATTGATACAATAACCTTGGCAAAAAATACAATTTATCATTGAGTAAAATGCTGACCGACGTTTTTCTTACTTATTTTTGGTCCATTATTTGTACACTTAATTGACGACATACTTTTCCGTTAAATCCCGATCATGACAAAGAGCAAACGGCGGGTGTGACCGGTCAGCAGGGGATGCTCATTGCTCCATGGCACCTGATCCCACCTCTGATGCTATGGGGGTCTTTTTTTGCTTTGCTCATACATTTTGTATTGTATTATGGACTTTTGATCTTGAATAGTGTTCGATATCTCCATACAACTGTATGTTTCACATTATTGATGAAGAGCAAAAAAAAAAAAGAAAATGAATTAAAATTAGAAATGAATGTTTGCCTAAAAGATAAGCAATCATGCTAGCTCGGTTGATTGTCGATCAAATGATACAACATTTCATTAGCTTATACAAACGTAAAGACAGATGGTATGTATATACATGTATGTATGCTTTTAAAATATAAAACGATACTGTAATAATGATTATTTGTATGAATTGCAAGATTTGAAATCACATTCGGACGTTACATGTAGCATTCATTTTATTAAAAAGTACAAGTATATGAAATAATTTTTAGTGTACAGATGATTGTACGCAGCCTTGAGATTTTGTACTTCTTACATGTACCTGATATAACACCATTATGGGACGAACACAAGCATATTTTCTATAAACTTTCGATATATAATTATTCTCAGGACTTTCACTGCATATAACTGATCATATAAATTTTTCTGTTCTTATATTGAGCCACAAGTAGCAAGTCACTTTCGTCAGTAAATAGTCCCCACGCACATTCTACATAACGGATGAATTGTCCATTCTGGTTATTTGATCTAAGGATGTCATTTATTTGTTCCATATTTCGTTGCACTTTTTGAATATTCTGATTTATTTTGGCCTTGCATCTTTTCATTTCATCCCTTTGTTTGTTTTCCACTTTTGTTATTTCAGAAGACAGATTATTGAAATGCCTTTCGATGGCATTATGCCACTTTCTTTCTTGATTAGAAATATTTGTTTCGAGATTTTCTAAATCTACCTGAAGTTCAGATTCTTGTTTTCTACGTCAGATAAAAGAATATCATTATATCATAAGTTTTTCTAAGTCTGATTTAAATCGTTATTGCTTTTTCTTAAAATTATCAAAAATATTTAATAACGTATGTTTCTCATGTTTTTCTGAGATTGTACATTCTATACAAACTGGAAAATGGCAGTTTCACTTCGTAAATTAAAACCAACGAAGGTGTGACACCGGGTGACAGCTGATAAGACATGTGTCCCTATGCATTGCTCTACAGAGGTTGACATCACATACGCGCACAGGACCTTTACCTTAAAGGAATTGCAATTTACACATTGCAATATTTCTTGGGCGCTAGTTTTTGGATCCATAGCTTTACACGAATCTGAAACAAAACGATTTTTTCAAAAAAAATATCAAATGTCAAATGTTTATATTTTTCACAAATAAAAGTTTCAATAAAGTAAAATCTTCAAACGACAGATTCTGTTAAAACCGGAAGTGCTATTGATAAAGCATCTACAGGTCGATAAAGTATTAGCTTATCTAATGGAATCTATCTCCTAAACGTATGAGATTAAGAACAGTAACATCAATGTAGATGTTTGATTTTCTTCACTTGTGTGTTTTTCCCATTGAGCAACAAACAGATTGTCATTTATATCGATGCACAATCCCCTGGAATAACTCAGTCCACAGCGTATGTAACGGAGGAAATGTCCATTCTGGTCTATGATGTCTATAGAGTCATTTTTATTATTGGCCAAAACGATGTGACTCTGACTGTCTCTAGTTATTCCGCGTGGACTGAATGGTTCATTCATTGGAGCAGGGGTGAATCCAGTATATCTGAATCTCAGTTTCCCGGCCTGATTGACCACCACTGCTGCTCTAGCTCCACTGTCAGACACACAGATATTCAGGTTTCTGTTCTCAGTTATGTATTTGTTAAAACGCCTAGATTAATAGAGAGGCTTTCCTTTATCGTCAAACTGTATGGGTTGTTTCTCATTGGAGACAGAGTAACGAACAACTATTGTTTGTTTGTTAACTACTTTACATGATAACCAGGAGGTCACCAGAGGGGTACTACAGACACCATTAGGTTTCCAGTTCTGTAGTCTGATCACCTCCTCTATCTTCTCATTCTTGACAATGTTCACAGTTTTATCACCCGTATCAGTATAAACTAGATCTCCATTTTTTGTCACTGCTATGTCAGATGGTATGTTTCCTGACTTGGTTGTGACAGACTTAAGTATAGATCCTAATTTATGCTGTAGAGTTTCATGGTCTTGTCATTTCCTCTTGTCCAGATTTCTTCAGACAGACCACTTTGTAAAGGCTTCCATACCCAATATCTGTGGTGGTGTTGTGAGTCTGTATGCCTTGACCGATAAGCATATTTTAGGATAAAAATGTTTATGTACAATAAAACTTAAAAAATCAATGTTGGGGGATATACGAGGGTTGTCCCGTAAAATCGTGGACAAAGCGCTTTTCTCGAAAAGTAATGGGCGCACTAAGCTGAAATTTTCAGGACATGTTTATTCATCATATTTAAGTGTATCATAATGTTTTTGATAATATATATTCAAAAATAAAGATCTTATTCTGCTTGAATGTGCACAGGGCACGGTCCTACGGCGCACGGTAAAAATAACAAGGTTATATTAGAGGATATACAAGTATTAATTCGTAATAAAAGTTTTCAAAACAAAAGATTAGGATAAAAATTGTTCTAATTAAATTTCTTAATCAATTCTGTCGTCTTTTTGAAAATTTCAAGGCATTTGGTTAATTTTTTGCAGTTTCCCGAGCATTCGAAATGGGAAAGTGGTAAACACAATACACAAAAAATGGCAACGTTTGATGACGTTACGGCGCGCCGGAGAACAGTTCAATTAGATTAGGATGTTGTAATGACACCTTAAGAGACTTTAAATGAATTCAGAAAAAAGAAAATATGAAAAACATCACTAGATCTTTAAAATACAAATGAAATGGTAGTTTTCTTAGCGAAGTTTTCTTGATCGAGTCCCCAAGTAGTACAAAACATACGGACAGACTGCAATTGTAATAGCAAAAGCCGCTTTCACTGTCGACCGTCGATATGAGATTCTCTTTTAGTTGAATGATGGTAAGAATACTGTCCGTAACTTGCTAATAAATGTTCAGAAGATCGCATGAGTGTGCCACATTGGTTCCTTAACTGGTTATAAACACTCACGTATGTAAATCAATAAAATTTCTAGATTTAAGTGGGGTTTATCCAATTTTAAAATTAGCAAACATGAAACGCGACGCTTTTTTTAACACCTTGACGTTATAATCCGTGCGCCGATACAGTACATAACATAAAATATCACACTTTGTTTATTTATGCATATATCTATTTGAAATTTGCTATGCATATTCATATTATATGTACTAAAGAGTAGTGAAAATTTCAGAACGCAGTGATGATTATTTTTCAAACTAGACAACTTCTCCACGATTTTGCGGAACAACCCTCGTATATAATTGATTATTTTGTTGTCTTGTCAATTACAAAAATAAATAAATAAATTATTTTTTTAATAAATAAATAAGAGAAATTATTAATTTATTTATTAATTTTGTATATTTCAAAGTCATTTATTTCTTTTAATTTTCACTGACAACTGTACCTTGTTTTTATTTGTGCCGTGTCCACTATGTAGCCCTGCAATCGTCAAAAATACATTGATTTTTTTTCTTTTTTCAATAGTTAATTTCATGCCTTAAATTAGTTTTATTTATTTTTTCAAAGAAAATCAATCAATAATAAAATAGAATTTTCCAAAATGCAGCAATTGATTTTTTTTTGTTTGTTTTTGTTTTTAAGAAAATGTACAAAGTCACAAGTATTTTATGAATTAAACAGGTGTTAGCAAAATAAATAAATAAATAACTAATTAATTAATTCATACAATGATTAAATAATTAGTATTAAAAAAAAGATTGGTAAATATTTTTGTAATGATTTCTTAATTTTTCAGAGTTATTTCAGATTTCTGACCGAACTCAATTAGTCTCTTCACAAATTAAAATAATATAACTATGTGTGTGTAATTTGTTAAAAAATCTCTCAGGTGAAAAACTAAATGTACTAAACTGATAATCCCACATCTTAGGTAAACATGCAGTGCTCTGGGACTGTGTGAACTTCTTCTTTTTGCGTCAATGAACACATGTATACAGGGGCGTACTGTGGCACATACTGGGGTTTACCGTAGTTTCTGTAGTAAACCGTTGCCATACAGTGGCATTTTGTAGGCCTACTGTATGTAACTGTGGCATGCTGGGGATACATCAGTGACATGCAGAGATTTACTGTATATACAGAGCTGGGATACCGTAGCATACTGTAGATATACCGTAGATAACTGTGAAAATGCTGTAGGATACAGAGGAAGACAGGGTTTTTAAAAGCCAGTAGTGTAAAATCAGTAGAATTTCTGCTCCAGCTTTAGCTGTCTCCAAGCCTTTATCTGGAAATAAAAGCCTATAAAGTTTCATTTATAAGGATATAACTCAGAAGTGGAATTGAATCAGCAATCTGATGGAAAGTAGTAACGTCTATAAACACTGAAAATTTGAGCAAAATCCATTGAGAAATGAGTGAGATATGAGGCTTCAAAATTGGCGTGTAGGAAGTAGAAGAAAATAAAAGAATTGGAACTTAGACATGCATATCAAGGCGTTTACTTTGTGTGGCTAGTAAATCATAAAGTGAGATAAATGTAGGAATCCCCTATGTAGACAATCCTTTTGCTTGAATACATGTATGTGCATTGGAGATAACTCTTACCTGTATCTTTCGTTTCCATTCATTTTAAAAAAAATTCCCACTGTGGGATGTGGGGATCGACCGGTCCTTCAGATAAGACCGTATAAACCGAGGCCCCATATCACAGAAGGTTTTTACACAAGATCCCTCACTACTCAATGTCCGCGATTGTGAGTACAGGACACAATTTGCAGCTCTCCGCCGGCAAGTGGTGGCATCTTCATATGAGTGAAAAATTAGGGCCGTGAACAACATACAATCAATCATTAAAAAATTTTGTATCTTAAATAATTTTTAACACCTATGGATGCTTTGCACAAAGTGAATTCCATAGCTCAAACAAAATTTTGACGTTTATATTTATATATTGCAGACTATTAAAGTTTATTGTACATTATGTTTTACTTTTTGTGGATATTTTGGCTATTTAAGCAATATATTTTGTTAAATGAAGTCTTGTTACAGAACACAAAAAACCCTTATGGATATATTAAAATTTTAGAAAGCTTCATTAATTTGTTGCTCATTAAGATTACAATAGAATAATACACTTTTTCCGTACATGTATATGAAATATTATTATATTTTGATTTCAGCTGAACATTCACATTTATTATGTAATTTAGCTTGAACGAGATATACATGTAGTATTAAAACAAACTGTGAGTGTTCAACTGTGAATTACCATTTTAAAATGCTTAACTACAGTAAATAAGCAGAATTCACTTCAGATATTTGATTTTCGTCACTTGTCTGTTTCCCCACTGAGCAACAAACAGATTGTCATTTGCATCTATACACAGTCCCCAGGGATAACTCAGTCCACAGTCTATGTAACGTAGGAACTGTCCATCCTGGTCTATGATGTGGACACAGTTATTGAATAAATCAGCTGTAAGGATGTGACTCTGACTGTCTGTGGAGATTCCAAGTGGGTAGAATGGTTTGTTCTTTGGAGCAGGAGTATTTCCAGTGTATCTGAATCTCAGTTTCCCGGCCTGATTGACCACCACTACTGCTCTAGCTTCATTGTCTGACACACAGATATCTAAGTTTCTGTTCTCTGTAATGTAGTATGTGTTATAATTACCAAATGATGAATAGAGAGGTTTACCTTGATCATCAAACTGAATGGTTTGTTTCTCCGTGGAGCCAGAGTAAAGGACAACTTTTGTTTGTAACAGTTTGTCATCATCACTGATCATGATAACCAGGAGGTCACCAGAGGAGGTACTACAGACACCATCAGGTCCCCAGTTCTGTAGTTTGATCACCTCCTCATTCTTCACAATGCTCACAGTTCTATCATGGTAATCAGTATAAACAAGATCTCCAATTTTTGTCACTGTTATGTCCTCTGGCCAGTTCCCTGACGTGGTTGTGATTGACTTGAGTAGTGATCCCTGATTGATGCTGAAGAGTTTCATGGTGTTATCATCTCCACTTGTCCAGATTCCTTCATCACTCAGACAGGCCACACTGTAAAGTTCACTATACCCCGTGTCTATGGTGGTGACAGTCTCTGGTTCATCAAGCAGCTGTTTGACTAGAGAAGAGGTCCCAGCTTCTGATGATTTTTGTGTTGTCTTCATGCTGTAGCCATGTTTATCTGAAGTTAGAGAACTTGATAATAAAGTTCCAAACAGATTACTGAGTTCTTTTCGTTGAATTTTCCCAGGCAAGAATTTCAGATTTGAAGGCACAACCTTTTGTGGAAGCTTTCTATATCTGTCTAAATTGGATTTAACAGCGAATAGTTTTGACATGTCATGTGTGTCTAAAGCCATTTCAGCTGAATTGATTTCATCCTGAATTTCAGTAATGTTCTTGTTTATTTCAACCAGATGTTTTTGTAGAGTTTTTAACTGTGTGATTTTCATCTCAGCAACTTCAGCTTTAAGTTTGTTGACAAGTTTGTCAATTTTTCTGTGCCAGTTCTCTCCATGTTTTGTTATGGCTGTTGAGAGATCTCCATACTCCTTTTCCAACTGACTCATTCTGTTTTGTACATCAGAGGCAATGTCCTGGTAGGTTGGGTAAATTGTTTCCTTAAATTCAATTTGATCTTTGATGATTTTGCTCTTTTTCTCGCCCACAATCTGTAACATTTCTGATAACTTATGACCCAGGTGTTGATCAGATGCTAGACACTTTGTACAAACAGGAATGGCACATTGGTTACAGTACATTGTACATTGCTGTTTGCTATGAGATTCACATCCAGGGTAGACGGGGGTAGATTTCCTGAACTGAAATTTGACGAATTTATGGGGTTTGGATTCATCATATTTCGTGTGTTTTCCCACACAGGCCTTACACAGTTTGACAAGACATGTATCACAGTGCAACTGTACCACAGCGGTCTCACACAGGTCACATCGTATCAAGTCCAGAGCACTGGTACGGGGGTCCATCATTCGATGCAGTATGTCTTAAATGTAAATAAATTCAACATTTATTCTGAAACAGTACATGTATTTACAATTAAAGTATAAGTACAACAAAAAGAGATGTGTCTGTGCAATACAGTGGCTCCCAAATGGCAACATTTTTAAGATTTAACTTTTTCAAACGCAACTATTCAAACGCAAATCACATATGTTGATTCCCAAAGTAAGGCCTTCCCACAAAAAATACAACTGTAAATATGAATTGTAAAATATTAAAGTCCTTGCAAAACCTGTTCAAAAATTATGGCCAAGGTTAAAGTCTCTTAAACGTAGTTCAAACTCCTAAGTCAAGGTCAAGGGGTCAAAGTTGGCAGTATCCTTCTCACAAGGATTGCATATGTAAAGTATTAAAGCCCTTGACCTTACCGTTAAAAAGTTATGGCCAATGTTTAAGTTTTAAAGTATGGGTATTGTTGGAATCAAATGAAAGGTCTTCTCACACTGATTAAAACATTACTTTGACGTCATGACTTTGTTTGCAGTTTAAAATGTACATGTGTTACATTAAAAGTTGCTTTAATTGTAAGTTTGTATATGTAATTGTACCGGACTTGTTTCATTAACCAATCAATTATAGCTTTTTATAAAAACATTAAAGCCAATTTTGGCAATTTTTTCTTTGATGTAGTTTGCAATGATTACTCGGGTTAACAACAAAAGGCCCATGGGCCATATCGCTCACTTGAGCATTGTGGTCAGGAAAAGGTTTAAATCCAAAAGTTTTCCCATGATCAATCATAGCCTTGCTTTTCTTGAGAAGAATTTTAAAGAATTTTCCTGTATATGTCTATGTAAAACTTCGATAGGCAATTTTGGCCCCGCCCTACCCCCGGGAGCCATGATTTGCACAAACGTGAATCTACACTAACTGAGGATGCTTCCAAATAAATATTATCAATTATGACTTTGTTATTCTCGAGAAGAGGATTTTAAAAGACTTTTCCTATATATTTCTATATTAAAATTTTAAATGCCAATTTTGCTCCTCCCAACCCCCAGGGGTCATTATTACCTTAGGATGTTTCCATATAAATATAATCAATCATGACTTTGCTTTTTTAAAGAAAGAGGTTTTTAAAGAATGTTCCTATATATTTCTATGTAAATATTCATTTTGATGGGCCATTTTGACCCCCGGGGGTCATGATTTGAACAATCTTAAATCTATACTACATGATTATGCATCCATATAAATATTATCAATTATGGCTTTGTTATTCTCGAGAAGAAGGTTTTTAAAGACTTTTCCAATATATTTCTATGTATAACTTTGATCGGCCATTTTGGCCCCGCCCTTCCTTGGGGTCATGATTTAAAAAAAAAATGGAATCTACACTACCTGAGGATGCTTCCATATAAATATGAGCGTTTTTGGCTTTGTTATTGTTGAATCTAGGCTACCTGAGAATGCTTCCATATCAATATGATCAAATATTGTTATGATATTCTTGATAAGAAGATTTACATGTATAAGAATTTTCCTATATATGTTTATGTAAAGGATTGATCGGTCATTTTCGCCTCGCCCTACTCCCGGGGGTCATGATTCGAACAAACTTGAATCTACACTACCTGAGGATACTTCTCTAGAAATATGATCAGTCATTGATATTCTTGAGAAGAAGATTTTTAAGGTTCATAAACCCTCTGCTGACTCATATGAAATTTTTCTTTATTTTTATTATGATTTTCAAAAGGAAATGTATATGCCGAATAATATATGAACAATTAAAGCAGGGCTTGCGGAGCAAAATTTGACAGAAAAGGCACTTAAACTTGACAAATTTATAAAGGAATGATAGACATTGGTGTCATTAAGAGTTATCTCTCTCACCAGACTATCAATATACCTTAAAGAATTTTACCATATATTTCAAAGTAAACTGGAAAAAAAAATCCTGAAAAATATCTATGATATCAATACCTCCATTTGGATATTTGACATCTATATTTTAAGTGGTGCTGTTATGAAATACAAAATAAATCATGGATGTAATGAGCCACCTTAAATAAAAAGCTTCTGTGTCAATAATCCAGTTTAATAACCCCAAACAGTACTTAACAAAGTAACTTACCAGCATCATCGTAGATTGTTTGGTTGTTTAGTGATATTAACAGATCGTGAGATTTTAAATCGAAACAAGCTAAATACACCGGGTATAAAAGCAAATCCAGAATTTCTTTTCCTATCTCTCCTCTCTCCAAGTCTTTTTCATAAAGTTCATATCCCTCCTTTGAAAGAAATGTCAGGTGAAGTAATAAACTGCTTTGGTAGCTTTTTATATCAGCACCATACTTTGTTCTTAAAAAGATGACAAATTTCGTGAATTTTGCCAAAATACTGATCTTTCGGACTTGCTGATTTGCATAGGTTTTTATTTTTGATGACAGTTTGTCAAAGAAAGGTTTGATAGAGTCCCGTATAATTTCGTTTGAGCCTTCCTTTAAAAGGGTTTCTACTGTGTCAAAAATTTCCTTTAACTCCTCTTCTGTTGTTACTTCATTGATACATTCTACCATATGATTCAGAAGGTCAATGGTTGTTTCCAGTAAAAAATCTGCTTGTTCTTTCTTTGCTGGGTCTTTTGCTTCGGCATTCACTTTTGCAGATGCAGTAAACAATCCTTCAAAAAGAAAAGAAAAATACATTTTAGTAATGATTTATATTATTATTTATATTTGAATCCGTAAGTGTAGGCCTTGCAGGTTAACTGTAACTGGATGACAGCAATTTGAAAGTTTTTATCTCTACATTACACGTTACAAGGCCTTAAGTATTGGTCTAATACTTTCTTGTTTGGTAGGGGATGAGTGATGGTGTTGATGGTAGTAACGTGAGTGTGAGTGTAAAAAAATATCATTTACAATAATAAGACACACCGTGGACAAAATAGCTTCTAATGATGGAAGGAGAGTATTATCACTGAAAATTAAGTAATATTCTATTTCATGGGGAAAATTTATATACAGATAAAGACGGGGAAGTAAAAGTCAGTTTCTGTAAGGAAATATCTTATACCATACCCTCAGAAGAGTGATTGCTTGCTCTAGTTTAATTCTAAAATTGCATGTTTCAATGCTGTAGATAAATCAATACCTTTTTCTAATCTCTTTGAAGCTGTTAGTTCTCTGATAATTTCAATGATTTCTTTCTCACTTTCAGACGAATTTTTAATTTTTTCCATCCACCCTCTTTCTAATTCCTCATTTAATGGTCGGTTTTGTGCAATTTGAAGACTCTGAATGTAATTTTTATGTAGGTGATTCCCTGTTCTTTGACACAAGCCGTACATGACAGCCCAATACTCATTGAATTCAGTTTGGGAAACACACGTGTTAGAAACATGGCTATACAATTTGTTTTTAATTAAGCGGATGCGTTCTATGTCATCTCCAAGACTAACCTCTCCCTGACATGGCATTTCTGTGATCCCCCATCCTTGTGTGGGAGATGGGATATTGGAACAAAGATTACGTATCAATGTATAAAGTAATGTAATGTCAAAGTCTTTGTATCCATCAGTATGGGCATTCTGGATGACAAGAAGCTGATCCTTTCGAATGATTTTAAACAATGGTATATTTGCTTTGACTGTATTGAATATAACACGAGGAGAAATTTCCTTTTCTAACACGTCTCGTAAAATAGGCGTCAGCTCCTCCACTATGATCAAAGCAAGTCTCGCAAATCTTGTTCTGTCACTTGGAGTAAACACTTTACTTAACGCCATTCTGAAAAAAATGTAAATGTGTAAATTCATAAATGTTCCAATATATATGTAGAAAGCTTAAGACGAGACCACTTTTGCTATGTTCACTCAATGCACAATTGTGACCCTGCATGTACTAATGAATCATGTCACAGTCCACATAAAATTTCAAACATCACATACATATGTCTTCCATTCAGTTTCTATTTTGATGATTACATTTCTCTTTAAGAATAACATATAAAACAAGGATGACATTTTATGAACTTTCAAGTATACTTGTCAAAATTTCTAAGTCCCCACTTTTATTATTTTAAGTATTTAAAAACCTTCACATTAATTAACTAGTCGTTTACAACTTTGACTTAATTTTTCTATGATTGCCTGTTACGGCCAAAAATATTTGAAATCGAATGTGTAATTACTCATCCATGGCCCTTTTTGTTAAAAAGCATGAAGTGCGAGTTTCATATGTTTTTGGGTGTATCTTCCATTTATTTAATTTGCCATGTGTTCTCCATCTTTAGTTGTTTAGGAAAAACAGAAAAAAGCTTGTTTAAAATGCCGTGTATGTACGAACGACAATGTGCAAGTGAAGTTGCCATGGTCCAAGCTGGCAGTAGTAAAGGAAAGTTGTATTTCCTTCGTTTGT